TTTAATAAGGGAAATATTAAAATTTATAATGGAAAATAGATTATAGAAAAATTGTTTATAAATATTTAAAAATTCAAAAAAAAATAAAAATTGTCAATTTTTAAAGTCTTAAAAAAGTTTCTCAAGTAAATTTTACTAAGAAATTTTAATAAAATAACCAAAAAATTATCATTTAAATCGTAACTACAATAATAATTTTACTTTTTGTATGTGAATTTCTGATTCTGGATACTTTTTAAGTAAAATATCGGCGGAGTCAAAAGTTGTGCATATTAATCGAGATCTGCAAGACAAACATCGTTCACTCGCTTCAAATTTATAAATATTTTATAATTTACTCATCAACAAGCACGTATTGAGCTAAGGAACTAGAAAAACTGCAGTTTCCATCACCAACTACAAGGATTCTTTACGAGTAGCAAAGAATGTATCATAATTAAATGAAAAGTGTCTTAGCAACAGAAATTTTTTAAAAAAAGTACTCAATCGCTTTACTATGTATACAAAAGAATAACAGTTGAAAGGACACACACAAAATAAATTTATATAAACAAAAAAGATATACAAAAATAATAAAACTACTTACTTATTATTTTTTATATAATATAAAGTCTCAAATTTGCTTTATTAACTTCTCGTGTAATAAAAAATAATAATAAAAATTACCTACAAAAATCTTTTTAAACAAAAACTTGAGTACTTTGTTAACTCTACAAAAGAATAGTATATAGAAGTGAAAGCGTAGCTTACAGTAATAAAATGATTTTATAGAAACAAATAAATAAATATAATATTGAAACTAATTACTTTTTATTTTCAGTGTTATAATAAAGTTTCAAGTGTTGCTTAATTAACTGCTCGCGTAACTTTTTATTCGAAAGAACATTAGTTTTAACAGCTGCTAAACAGCAATTATGATTAATTTCCTTGGATTTTTTAGTTAAAGTATCTTGCGAAAGAGTTACAAGTTTTTTCTTTTTAGCAATAGTATAGCTACGTTTATATTTTCTTTTAGTCATTCGAGATATTACATATAATAATATTATAGTATAAAAAAAGGTAAAAAATATCGATGGATATAACGTTTGTAGCTAAATTTAAAATAGCTATTCCACATGACTTAGGATTTAAGAGAACTAGTTATTATGTGCAACTAATTCAAAGTATTACAGAAGAAACTTTAAGAAATTATCTAAATATACTAAAAATAAAGTAATAAAAGCCAACTCTACTCTATTGTGTAGATTTTTTACTTTTTATTAAGAAACCTCAAATTTGATTCATAATAAAAAAAAAACTTCTGAAGATTTTAAATTTATTGTAACAATAAAAATACATTTTTTTTAAATAACAAATTTTTAATCTATTAGAAAAAATTTTAAAGCAACCATTTATTTTTTTTAAAAATTTTTTAATGTTTATTATGATTTTAATATTAAAAATAAACTTCTACTTTTTAATTATTAATAACAATTACTTTTTTTTTGTTCACTTTGATAAAATTAGGTTTTTATATTATTTGTTACTCCAATTTTTATTTTTAGATCCGTTTAATTTGTTTATACTTTTTATTAATTTTTTAGTATAATATTTAAAAATAAATAAGATATTTAATCGAATGCAGAGTATTAGTAATAGAAAGATTTAAGCTAAGGATGGCTTAATATCTATATTGGCCATTGTTAAAAAGTTTTATATACTCGATATATTTATAAGCTCGACCGCTACAGTCTCTCCTTTTTAATCTAAAAAGTAAATTATATTAATTGCTAGTTTTTTTTTATATCTAAAGTATTTATACTAGTTTACTAATAAATTCTATTTAGCTATAATAATTGTGTGGATTACCGTAGTATATTATTTACTTTGGGCAGCTTTCTACGCCAATCTTAATTAAATCCCAGAGCAGAATTTTTAATCCATATAGAGCTATGTTTATTTATATTGCACTCATTTAAGTTTTAAAGATTCACTCAAATTTTAATTTAATAATTAAACAGAACTTTTAATCCATATATAGCGATATTACTTTACTTTGCACATCTTGTGTCGTTTTAAAAGTTCACTCCAATCTTAATTAAACAACAACCAAAAAGAGCTTTTAGATCATATAAAGCGATATTAATACACAATGCACATTTCCATCTATTGTTTTAGGAATTACTCAAATCTTATTTTGTTAACCGGAAACTTTTAAGAAAGAGCGAAGTTATCTTACAAAGCAAATCTCGTACATTTGTAATCGCCTGAGAAACGAAATTACAGCTTTACCAAAATTCAAGCAGCAAAGGTAGTACGAGTGAAGTATATGACCAGAAAAACTACACTTAATTGCCATTGCCTCTTTAAAGGTTAACTGTAATTTTAAAATATAAGTTGGACTAACAACTGCAATAGAGTAGGAGGTATAATTAAAAAAAATTGGTGAATAAAATAAATTATTTAATCTTAATGGAAACGTGACAGCGTATTCTACTTTTAATAAAAAGGCACTATGACCTTAAATATATTAAGGAAATCCATAAAATTTAATCTTGTTTTCTAAAAAGTTTTTAAACACTTTTAGCTCACCGCAGTTGAGTAAGTTTCGCATATCATTTCACTAAAATATTCTATTGAGCTATAAAAATTCATAAAAATTTTCCTCGTCTAAATTAATACGGTTAAACCTACGTATGAATTTTTTTTCCTAGTTTTATGCAGGCATTTAATTAGTCTAACACTTTTTAAAAATAAGTTAAAGCTCTTTACTGTATAGATTTTAAGCTAAGTAAGCTCTATAAAGACTTATATTCGGCTTAAAACAGTTGTAAACTTCAAACTAGGAGTTTCATTTCCGTTTATCAAATCCATCACCAAATTTTCTGCTCTTAGCCTTTTTATTACACCTTGTCTATCTTAGTGCATATATTTATATTTAGGTGGGGGGAGGGAGAAGACATTTGTCTTTTTTAACAATATGCTTAGTTTTGCAAGTGGTACTAAAAATAATAGTTTAGGTAACAAGGTAATAAGAATATAAGAAACCCTATAGCTATATTATTTTAAATATTAGTTTCTCTTTCTATTACTGACTTTTTATACAATTTAAAGCTTTTAATAAAAATAAATCTCTCTCGCTAAGAATTAATTGTGGCAGCTATCGTCTTATTATGAAGTGCACAATGCTACTTGTACGTTATAATATTTTAATTTCTGCTTAAATATATTTTTTATTTTTAAGTTTATTGCCAATAAAAAGTTTTTAAAACTTTTGATATATATATATATTAAGTGCCAGTTAAACCAGCCTCCCGAATTTATTAAAGCAAAGTTTAAGATTCACAAATACATATTCTAGCGAAAAAGGAGATAAGTTTAAATCTTTGTATGCTTAAAAAAAAATTGTCATGAAGCTTGACGCATACTTAAATTAGCTTTTATTATAAATTTTATTATCGTTGTGATAAATCTAAGAATATATTTGATATGTTTATTTAATAGAATCTATAACGCCAAATATTTAACGTGAAACCTTGATAATTTAAGTACTGCCTAGTGAATTTCTTCGTAGACTTACTTTTTTATATAGTAAGCAGCATAACCTAAAATTTTTGGGTAGTTTAAAAAAGTTAACTTCATATTTTGTAAATTTAGCACGATAGTAAGTATAAAAACCTACAAATATTTGGTGAGCAAATGAATCAATTAATATTGTTGTCTGACTTTATAAAAAGAGTTAATTATTAATAAGTTAATTACGAATTGAATTAATTTAAAAAAGAGATTGAGCTAAAAGAAAAATAGAAAATGACGCACTTGTAATAACAAAGCTTATATAAAACAATTAAAGTACATAATAAACTGCCATTAAATTACTCTAAGTTTACATAAGAGTAAGTTTTTTAATAAAAGTCACAAAACACTTTTAAAAAATACCGAATTTGGCTGTATAAATCTTAGTATACCTTCTTTCAAAGCAAAAAAAGAATGCACTAAGTAAATACTTTTTGCAGACTTTTTCGAAATTTTTATACTATTAAAAATAGCTTCTCTCGTAAATAAGACAGCCCAACTTTACACAGAAAAATACATTTTTTTAAATAATAACGTGAACTTAATATAAAGCTACAAATAAGAACAAAGTAAGAAAAAGCTATGATAAATATTACTACTCATAGTGATAGGAAAAAATAAAAATAAAAGCAAAAGCCAATAAATTATAAAAAAATAACTCCAAAAATTTTACAAGCCTGGCCTATAATTCATAGCAATATAATAATTTTTCTATAACTAAAAAAAAATCCCTTTTTGCTTAAATATACGCTTTTGCTAAATTTTATATTAATCTAAACAAATTTTAAAGCGTTCTCGAAGTGCTGTTTATATACTATCAGGCGTTTAACAGTGTTTAATAATAAAGCTATTTAAAGTAAAAGTAAAAACCTTGAAAAAAAGCTTAAGACTTCCTCTCTGCAGAATAAAAATATTATTTTTTAAATTTTATTTGCAAATATTAATTTTGTTTTACAATTAAATTTTGTACTACCTTACAGAAAGTATCCGCTAAAACAAAAGTAAATTACATAAATTTTCATAAATATACAATTTCTACCGGAAAAGTGGCCAAATTAAATAGTAAGCGCTGTAGAACGGTATTAATATATTATATAACGGAATCTGTAAAAATAATGAACTTGTATAATATATTTAGCAAAATTGTATGAAATTAAAGTAAAAATCAATAGAACAGGAAATTGTTGTCAAAAATATTACAAGTAGTAGCCCAATTGTTCATAAAAACAAAATAAAACTTCTATTTTTCTCCAGAGAAACTGGAATTTACATAAACTCAAGAAAACCAATAGTTTGATAGTTCCAGAACAATCGAGATAGTTGTAATTAAGAAAAATCCCGAACATTTAAAATCTTATAAACACCCTCCCTCCCCTGTTCACTTTCTCACCTTTAGAACTTCTTTCTGTCTGGGTTCAAGTTTATTCTGTGGTGCTCATCGTGCAATGCTTTCTTTATTTAGGAGAGATCCTTTCTTTGCCGGTATTGAGTCGATGTCTTGTTTGCTGGAACCCCTTCTGGATCACCCAGCGAGTAAAAGATTATTTGCGAGCCCCGTTTGCAACGTAAGAGAAAGTGATGAGGCTATAGTAGTAGAAGCGAACCTTCCTGGGGCCCAAAAGGAGGACATGTCTGTAAATTTGAGTGAAGGCCTACTGACGGTTTCTGCTGAAATTAAAAATATCAAGGATAAGGAGGAAGAAGATCCCAGCGGTGTGGTTTGGCACAGTAAAGAGCGCTACCATGGTACGTATAAGCGTTGCTTCTCTGTCCCCAAAGAGACTACGCCTGAGGACGTCAACGCCGACTTTTCGGAAGGGGTTCTCAGGGTTACTGTGAAAAAAAATAAAGCTTCGATGGAAGGGGCCATTAAGATTCCCATTCAATAAGTTTTTTCATTCGGTGCGGTCAATTAATTTGTAATTACTGTGTAATACACTTAATAAATTTAATTTATGAGTATTCTCCTAATTTTATATTTGATATAACCTATTTCTTTTTAAGGTTATTGTGTCTATAGCAGGGAGCATGCAATAGTTTAATAGATTCATTGTTAGATAGCGCAGAGCTGATAAAAACGAATGCCACATAAGAAGTCTATACTATGGTCTAGAGCTCCATTGCAATTGATACCCTCAACAATTTTTCAGGCTTGACTGCGAATTTTTTTAATCAAGTATTTGTCCATCTTAAGGTTGAGGCGGTCGTTATATAAAAGAAAAAACAATTGTGTTTCCCCCTGAAACCTTTGTAGTCTTTCGGGTCGAAAAGCGACGACTACTGCTTATTTACCAAATATTTCGAGAAGTGATTTTTTTATAAATAAAGCTTAACTGCCGTACGCGCGTGTAATACATGAAAGAAGTTTTAAGCTTTAATACGTGTTAGTTTAAAAAAATTAATTAGTGATTTTTTGAAAGGCTATTAGACTTTCAACTACAAACTTGAGCCTTAAAATGTAGTAAAAAAATTTTCTTTAGTTTTTGTAGGACGTACACACATTTAGTAGGTGTAGGTAACGCTATTTTCTGCGAGCTAAATGTAACTGCTGACTTGAGAGATTTAGTTAATTGTAAAAAGGTATTATTTTCGACTATTAAGCTTAGGTAGAGTTAAGAATTGTTGTTGTGTTTCTAAATTTAACTTGTTAGCTAACAAGCTCTTTTTAGCCAGATTGGTTATTTTTTGCGCCTTACATTGGATATTGGATAATAATGTAATATCCTGATTTTTAATATACTCTTGAAACTATTCTTTTACTGCATAACTCGTTTAGAGCAACCAAAATACTTTTAAACGTTCTAGCAATAAGTGATATTTTTCGGCAATACCTGTGAAAGTTTTACTGATAATTTTAAGGTTTTAAATTAAAAAAAAGTCCCGTTTCAGAGGTAGTTAACCTTATTATGTGTAACTTTGGAGCCGTTTCTCTTTATAATCGGTTTTTTGGAAGTTTTCTACAACAGTTAGAGAAGTGAGGTGAAACCTATACTTCCGTTCACCGTTATTTTCACGAAAGATCGCCAATAGCAGTAAATTTCGGTGCATCCGCCATTAACCTCAAGGAGATAAAATTTTTTGGTAGGTTCCTATATACAATTCACCGAAAATTATAATAAAACTAATGTAAAAATATACAATAACAGATTATTTAAAAGTAAATAAATATGCGTTAAGAAATAACCGAAAAAAGCTTGAAAGAGCACTATAATATTAGTAGAAAAACGGATATGAAGAAGCAATCAAACCTATCTTATACTGGTTTCTAATTACTGTCTGGCTTTTTTTTCCCTTTAATAATGTTTATGACATTAATGAATTGAGATATATAAAGTATTATTTTGATCTAACTACTCCATATAAAAAGAACATTTTGTATATAGTAGAGCTTGTTTCCTTTAAAGAGGCTGCTTTTTTGGCATGTTAGTGGGTATAGTAGTTAATAGTTAGTTTAGCTTTATTCTAATAATTTATATACGTGATTTATTAATTTAAGTTTCCTACTTCCTACTTATATTATTATGATAAATTTCCATATCTTTTATTTTTACTTACGTTCAAAAGTAAAAGGTTACTCCTTATGCCTAAATAAAGCTAACACATCCCACAAAATAAAAGGCTAAAAGAAAGAAAAATGAGTATTTTTTTTATATAGCTTTGGAAATGTTCAAGCAAAAAACAGCTTTAAATATTAATAATGGTACTACTATCTTTTATATACTTTAATTTTTTTTATTAAAGTGTATTATCAATTTTTAAACACGCTTAAAACTGAGTAAGTACTTGCCCTCACGAAATTAGATTCTGTATGTACGAAGCTTATAACGATATTTACCATTTATTACAAAAGTAATTTTTCCAAATAAGCTTATTAATTAATTTTATGGGATAAATTAGGCGATTTAAATCAAATAAATTCTACGTCATTAGTTGATTGCTTTTATCATTTTTTAATTAATTAGGAGCTTTTCATAACTATTGCGAATATAAAACAGATGTCTACATTCGCTGATAAACTAAAAGAAGCACATATTAAAGCTGTAAAAAATGAAAGTAATGTAAGTAAAAATTAGTTTCATTAACTTTAACGTTTGTAATTCTTAATGTCAATATACTTCGGCATCAATCTTTACATTTACTACTTTCTTAAACGTGCTAAGACGTAATCCTTTTCTTTATTTCTGCTAGAAGTGATAGTGAAGTCTTGACGAAATTAAAATATTATTTTTGTTAATTTATTTATAAGAGTTTAAGCCAAAGTGTATAAAAGAAAAAGTTATTAAGTCTGAAATTTAATAGTTCTTTATAATCGAAAGTTTGGGAAATTTAATTTAGCTTCGTTTTTAGGATGCCGATCGCACAAAAGAAGCTCAAAACCTTAAAGTACTACTTGAAAAGGCTGAAAAAAGAAATATTATGACTGCTACTGAATCTCAAAATACTTACAGTAAAATTGTAGAGCAGTGTGGAAGTAAAATTTTAGATTCCAAACAAAATTAATATTAAAAATATACGCGATTTACTTCACTTTATAGCTTTGGCCGGCGAAAGATTAAAAAATGTCAGCAGCAGAATGAATGATGTATATTCTGTTATTAAATTTTTGGAGGTTAATTGTTTTTAGTGGCTTCTAAATTATGCAAGCTTTTCTAATAAATCTACTCTGTCATTTAACGCTTATATATTAATTTAAATAACTTCTAAATTATATTTTCCTTATAATTCTATTTTGTTATTAAATTTAAAAAAAAAAAAAAATAATTATTTTTAGTGGCTTCTAAATGGTCATGTTTTTTTAATAAAGCTATGTTAATAAATTTTTAGAAACAAGTAATTATTTATAGAAACTTATATATTGTACAAGCTATCCTAAATAAATCTAAATTGTTATTAATTTTTTTATTATTTAATTTTATTTAGTAACGAATAAATTATATGTTTTTTTTAATAAATCTAATTTTTTATAAATTTTTTTTAAGATTAATTATTTTTAATTAGTAACTAACATATATGTTTTTCTAATAAATTTAATTTTTTATTAAATTTTTAAAGATCAATTATGTTTAATTAGTAACTAATAAATTATATAACTTTTTCTAATAAATCTAATTTGTTATTAACTTTTCATTGATTATTATTTTTAATTAGTAATTACTAAATTATATGTTTTTCTAGTAAAAATTATTTTGTTAAATTTGGTGAATAATTATTTTCGGTGGCTTCTAAATATATAAACTTTTCTAATAGATCTACTCTGCTATCAAACGACCAGAAACAATTAATTATTTGTAGAAACTTTTAAATTATATAAACTTTTCTAATAAATCGGATGTGTTATCAAATTATTAACAAATAATTATTTTTATCTAGTAACTACTACCTTATATAAGTTTTTATTAAATATTTATATTTAGTAATTACCAAATTATAAAAGTTATTCTAAATAAATCTCTTCTGTTATTAAATCTTTGGACCCACTTAATTATTTCAAGTGACTTCCGATATATATGAATATATATGAACCCTTTATAGTAATCAACTCTGTAAATAAATTTTTGAAAGATGTTTAGTTAGTGACTCTAATTTTATATAAACTTTTTTAATAATCTACTAACTCTAAGTTTTTCTAAAGTAAAGAAGTTATATAACTTATAAACGCTTCAATTTTTTAAATGTCTATAATAATAATTTCTTTTTTTAAAATTAAAAAAAAGTAAACGAAATAAGACATTATATCATTTTAGTAATCATGTTACAAATTTTTAAAAAAATTAGCTTGAAACTTTAATAAATTTTAAATCAATCTAATTTTTAAGTTTATTTTTTACTAAATATTAATTTATTGATATTTATATCGTATTTTAGTTTTTTTTAATTAAAATTAACTTCTTCAGAATAAAGATTCGCCTATTCCCTTCAGCGTTATAGAGCAAGAACTTAGTATTGATTTATCTTCGAGACCTGATATAATTTCTCACCTTCAAAATGAAGTTAATAAAACATTTTTCGTTATTGATTACGGAAAGAAAACCATTAAATACAAGGTAAACTCATTTAATTAATCAATACATTGAGAAATACATTAAGAAAATTATAATTAAAAAATTTAATAAATTATTAATTCAAGTAAAAATTAAATTTTAAATCTAGAAATTATTTATTTATAACTTAAATTAAATTATAATTAATTTTTTATTTAATTACAATTTATAAACTAATAAAATTTATAAATTGTGTTCTCTACTATAGCACACTTACGAGTTTAGAGATTCTGACGAATTACTGAAGCATCTCAAAGAAAAACATGAAAGATGTGAAGGTAAAAACTTGTATTTATAAAAAATTAAAACATTTAATTTTTTTATAAATTTTTTTATGGGTTTTTAAAACAGAATAATATCTATTTTTTTATTTTTTTTTATTTTCAGCGTATTATTTTATAGTTTTAAGCATTTTAGATTTTAAATTTTAAATTAAATTATAATAAATTTAATTTTTTTTATATACAAAAAATTTTCTTTATTTTTTTTAAAAATTTATAACATTTTAATTTTTTGAATTTACAAACCATAATAGGTTTCTATTTTTTTATTTACTATAAACTTCATCGTGTGTTAAAATGAAATAAAAATATTAATTTTTTTTTATTTATTACAAAGTTTCATTGTATTTTTATATAAAATTAATAAAAAATTATAAATTTCCTAGTTCTAATTTTTTTTATTATTATACAAATTTTTTTATTTATTATAATATTTTAAAGTATGTTTATAAAGTCAAGGAAATTATAAATTTCCTAATTTTCAGTTTTTTTATATTTGTATACAATTTTTTTTTGTTTATTATAGTTTTATTGTATTTTTTTATAATTAATTAATTTCGAATTTTTTTATTATACGATTTTCTTTATAAATTTTTACTGCATTCTTAAAAAATAAAGAAATTTCACTCCCTATTTTTAATTATTTTTTAAAAGTATAAAAATTCAATTATAATTTTTTATTACAAAAATTTTTTCTATATTGATTATAAACTTTTATTGTACTTTTTTAAAAATTAAAAAAATTTTAAATCTCTAATTTTTCAATTTTTTTTAATATACAAAAAAAAATTTGGTTTAATTTTAACTTTTTTTTAAAATACTTTTTCTTATGTATTATAAACTTTGGTTGTAAATATTTAAAATTTAAAAAAAAAATTTTTAATATAAAAATTCTTTTTTTGTTTTATTACTAAAATATTTTTCATGAATAAAAATTTAACTTTATTTCATATAAAATTATTTTTTATTTTTTATTATAAACTTTTTTGTGTAGACTTTTATCGTTTTTTTTAATTTTGAATCTTTAAAAGTTCTAAATTTTACTTTTTCTAATTTGTTTACTTATAAAATTTTTTAGTTATTATTATTATTTAAAGTTTATTTGAAACTTTTTATATATTTTAGATTTTTTTATAAAAAAAAAATTATTTTGTTCTATTATAAATCTTTTTTTTTTATGACCACTTGAAGGTTTTCTTTATTATAAAAAATATTATTTTTATTATAACTTTTATTTTTTATTCAAATATTACTTTTTTCTTAAATAATTGTCCCTATTACTCAATCATTAACTTTTTTATTTATTAATATTAATTTTTTAATTCTAATGATTATTTAATTCATTATAATTTTTAAACGTAGCAATTAACTTTTATATACAAAATTTCATTTATTTTTTTATTTTTTTGATAATTATAATTATTTTTATTATATAATATATGTTATTTATTATTTATATTATAAAAATCTTTTTGTTTTCTACTGTTAAGTATAATTTTTAATCAAAATTTCTAGATTATTATAATTTTTTTAATTTTTTTAATATTTAATAAATTATAAAATTTATGATTTTATTTTTACGTTTTTTTAATAATAAAATATTTATAATAAATTTATTTTTATACAACTTTTATAATTTTTAAAGTTTATTATAGTTTTTATTTTTAATAAATAAACATAAATAAGTTTTTATTTAATAAAAAATTTTATTTATTAATATTTTATTTTTATTTCAAATGTTTTTATGCATTTATATTAAGTTATTATTATATTAAGCAAATATTATTATATATATAAAAAGTTTTATTTATTATTTTTATACTCAATAAATAAAAAATTAATAAAAGTTTTTAAAGTTATTATATATTTGTTTTTTAAAATATAAATTTAATAAAAAACTTTCATTTTATTAATACTTTAATACGCCTTTAATTATTAATAAATGAAAACTTTATAAAATTCTTCAAAGTTATATATATTTTAATAAATAAGTTTAATAAAAGTTTTTATTAATAAAAAACTTTTACTTATTATTATTTCTATAAACTTTTTCTGAAATAAAACATAAAATTTATATATTTAAATATATTTTTATATAATTTATAAAAAATTCTATCTGTAACTAAAATTGATTATTTATAAGTTTTGTTTATTTATTTTTTTATACTACTTTTATTATCAATAAATAAAAGTGTATATAAATTTTTAAAGTTATTATTTTTATTTTTAATTAAATTTATATAATAAAAAATTTTTTAATAAAAACTTCTACTTATTACTATATTTTGGATATAACTTTTTTTCTGTTTATAAAAAATTTATATTTTCAAATATTTTTATAAACTTTATATTTTTACTAATAGTATAAAAAATAATTATTTATTTATAATAAACTTATTTAATACAAATTTTTTATATTCATAATGAAAATTTATAAAAAAAACTTTAATTTATAAATAATTTTTCATACAACTTTTGTCTTTAATAAATTTATAAGTTTAATTTTATTTCTAAACTTTTCATTTCTAAATTTATATATCAAAATAATTTTTTATATAACTTTTACATATTTTATTAAATTTATTATAAAAGTTTTATTTGTCTATTTTTTTTTTAATTTTATTATTTCTATAATTTAATTTTTTTTTTAAAAATTATTAAACTTTTTTTAAGTTTATAAAAAATTTATATCAAATATTTATAAAAAATTGAAATTATTTATAAAACTTTTATTATTTTATACAACTTTCTTTATATTAAAAAAAAATTTAGTTTTTAATAAACTTTGTATGTAAATATTATTTTTTTTTAATTTTTTTAAATATTTTTTATACACTTTTTCATTTTTTCTTAAAGAGAATTAAAAAAACTTTATTACTATTAATAATAAAACTTTTATTATCATGTTTATGCAATTTATTTTTGATAAAATATTTATAAATATAATTTATTTATACAACTTTTTTCTTTTTTAATAATTTATATTATTTATTATTTTATTTTTTTACAACTTTCATTTTTTACCAATTTAAATTAAATATTTTATACTACTTTTCATATTTTTATTACTATAAAAAATTATTATTTTACAATAAAACTTTTATCTTATTATTAATATACTTCATAAAACTTTTTATAACCAAAAAAACTTGTATTCAAAAATTTTTTTATACTACATTTTTTTAAAAAATTTAAAATTTTATAATTTTATTTTTATACAACTTTTCTATATTTTTATTAAATTCATAAAAAATTTTATTATTATTTATTATAAAACTTTAATTTTTTATATTCATAATGAAAAATTTAAAAAAAAATTATAGTAAAAAACTTTTATTAATAAATAATACAACATTTTTCACAATTTATTGTTTACTTATTTACAACATTTTATAATATTTTATAATTTCAAATTTTATAAGACTTTTCCATATTTTTTGTCAAATTTATAAAACAAATTTATTATATTAATAATAAAACTTTTATTTTTATACAACTTTTTTTTATTTTTAAATAAGATTTTTTTAAGAATTTTAAAAGTTATTATATATTTTATTTACTAATAAATAAATTTATTAAACATTTTATATTAATAAAAAACTTTTATTTAATAATATTATATTTTTTTACAACTTTTTAATTAATGTATATAAAAAATTTAATTGAATAAAAACTTTTAAGTCTTAATATTTTATTATTATACATATTTTTCTTTAAGGCATTTTTTATTATATAGAAAAATTTATACTTATATTTTATCAACTTTTTTATTTTTTTAAATATTTTTTGAAAAAAATTATATTATTAAATTTTATACTTCCGAACAACTTTTTTTGTTTTTTTTATAAATTTATATAATTTATATAAGATATATTCATTTTTAATTTTTTTTTATATCTTATGATTATTATAATTATTATTATTTCTTATATTTATTATTTTTTATTTATTATTTCTTTTAATTATTATTATATTTACTTATTATTTTTATATATATTTTTATTTATTTTTTACTATTATTGCTTTTTTATTCTTATTATTTTTTTGTTTCTTTTAATTGTTATTATTTTATTTTTCTATTTTTTATATTACTTATTTTTTTTTTCAATTTATTAAGGATATTTTACTTATATCTTATTATTACTATTACTTAATTTAAATTAACTATTATCAATTTTTTACTTATTATAATCATTTTTTATTGATATTTATTTTGTTATAATTATTTATTTTAACTATTACGATTATTAATTTTATTACTTCATTATTGTATAATTATTATTTATTTTGTTATTTACATTATTTAATTTTATAATTATTATTAGTTCATTTTCTATTATTTTTTTTTTTACTTCTTATTACTACTTATTTATTTTTTATTATATTATTAACTTTTTTTATTTACTTATTATTATTTTATTATTTTAGCATTATTATTATTTTCATTTCTTATAATTATTATTAATTATTTTTTATTATTTTTTACTTATTATTATTACTTATCTTTTTATGTTTTATTTCGCTACCATTAATTTATTTTATAATTTTATTATTATTATTTATTTTTTATTTACTTATAATTATTATTACTTAATAATATTATCATTTATTTTTTTGTTTACTTATTTAATATTATCTTTACTTCATATTACTATTATTTACTTTACTATCATTATTATTATTATTTGAACTCCTCAATTATTGTCATTAACTTTTTTAATTTTTTTTATTTACCTATTATTATCATTTGCGTATTATTATATATTCCTTGTCTTATTAATATTTTAATATTATTATTATATATTTTTTTATCTTACTATTATTTTAATACTATTATTATTAATTTTTCTAATATTATATTTACTTTTTATTATTTTCACTTCATATATAATTATTATTACTATCTAATTTACTTATTATTATTAATATTTTTACTTCATGTGATTCTTATTTACTTTTTAATTTTTTCAATCCTTTTTATTATTATAACTTTAACATTAATATTATTACTTCTGAGTATTATTATTTATTATTTTATTTATATTTTTTTTACTTACTACTATAAATAATAAATTAAAATTATAATAAATAAATAAATATAATAATAAAATATATAAAAAATTTAATGAATAAGTAAATATAATATTTACTTATTATTATTTTTACTTCATATTGTTACTTATTATTATTATATATAAAAACTTTGTAGGTGGCTTAAATATGCAGCTCGTTATTAATGGGAATAGCGCGCTCAAACCCGAAATTGAAGTAACTTTTTTTTACTATATAATAAATATTTTTTTATTATTTAAAAGAGTTTTTTTATATTTATTATTTTATTTTTTTTGAATTATAAATTTATAAGTCAGAATTTTAAAATAAATAAACAATATAGTAATAAATATAAAAAAAAATTTATAATAACAAAGAAAAATACTTTTTTATATTTTTATTAATAGTTTATAATAATAATTTAAATATACTTATAAATAATGAAAATATTTTTTATAAAGTAAATATTGTTTTTATTATACTTTTTTAGTTTTTTTAAAAATTTAATAAAAGAAAAATCAAAATTAATAAGTAAAAGTTTTATAGTTATAAAAAGAAAATTTTTTACTAGTAAAATAATTTTTATTATACTCTATTTTTTTTTTGAAAATTTAATAAAAGGATTTAAAAAAATAAATAAAAAGTAAACTTTTATAAGAACAATAGAAAAAATATAATAATTTACTCATTAACTATAATTAATTAATTTTTAATACTTTTTAGTTTTTTGAAAAATTTGATGAAAATATATAAAAAGATACCAAAAAGTAAAATTTTATAAGAATGATAAAATATTAATATTTTAAAAAGTAATAAGTAAGAGTCTTTTTTTAACAATAACAAAATATTATATACTTTTTTTATTAAATAGAAATTTAATAAAAATTATAGAAAAAATAAAAAAGTAAAAATTATTTTGAAAATTAGATTAATTAATAAATAAAATAAATAAAAAGTAATTTATATAAATAAATAAAATTATTGATAATAAATTATATATTTCATAAAGTAAAGTAATCTTGATAACTTATAAGTAAATATAATTGTTATTATGCTTTTCTGTAGTTATTAAAAAGTTTATTAAAGAAAATAAAAAGTAAATTTTTATTATATCTTTTTTTGGTTTTTTTTTAAAATAATTATTAAAAAAAATAAATTATATAAAAATAATAAAACAATAATAAAGAAAAAAAAACTTTTTATTAAGTAAATACTATCGTTAATATACTTTTTAATATTTTTTTTCAAAGTTAATAAAAATTATAAAAAAGTAAAAATATATTAAAATATATAGTAAATATAATTATGAAATAAATAATGTATAAAGTAAAATGTTTATAGTAAACATAATAATTATTATACTTGTTAGTTCCTTTTGAAAATTCATTTATAATAATGAAAAGTAAAATAAATGATAAATTACTCTATAAAAAATAAATATTGAAAATTTTTATAAGTAAATATAATCGTTATTCTATTTTTTGTATTTTATTAAAATTTATTAAAAAAATATTAAAATAAATTGAATAAGGAGATAAATATTAATTAAAACAAAACTTTTCAGTAATATTAATAATTTTTATAAGAATATAATTTTCTTTATATTTTTTAGTACTTTTTACTGTATTTTATTATATAAATTTACTATTAATATTTTAATTACTACATTTTTTTTTATTATTTTATTATTTTAATAGAAATGTGAAGTAAAAATTTTCTTTATATATAAAAAATAAATTATTTTTTAGTTATTTATTAATAACAATTATTTTTATTCTTAATATGAAATTTTTTTGTTAGCGTTTAGTGGAAACAAAGCAAATTCTCAAAATACAAAACATAAAAACAAAAGTTTTTCTTCTTTTTTATAATAATAAAACTTTTTCAACTTTTACAGTATCAGAAGGTAAAATGTTATATATTACTAACTAAATACTTTCATTATTATTATTATTATTATTATTATAATTATTACTATCATTATTATAATTATTATTTGTAAACTTTTTATATTTACAAAAATATATATACAATTTTTGTATTAATAATAATAATAAATAATAATAAAATTATTGAGTAAAAATATTAATATAAACTTTTCTTTAAAATAAATATATTAAAAATATGAAATATAATTTTTTTTAAAAAATAAATTAAAGTTTTTTATCATAAAATATAAAAATCTTAAAAAAAGAAAAACTTTTTATATTATTTTTATAAGCATATCATAAAAAAAAATTATATAGAAAAGTTTATAGTTATTTATATATTATTATACTTTTAATTTTTTATATAGAAAAGTTTATAGTTATTAATACGTTTATACTATTTAAAAAAATTTTCTTTTTATATAGAAAAGTTTATTATTATTTCTCTACTTTTTTAAAAACTTTTTATATATAGAAAAGTTTATAGTTAATAATAGTTTTTTACTTTTTAATAAAATTTTTGTATATCGAAAAGTTTATTATATTATTATTTCTATACTTTTTTTTAATAAACTTTTTTATAATAGAAAAGTTTATAATAAATAATATTTTTATACTTTTATATAACTTTGATAAATAATAAACTTTATAATAATATTATTTAAAACTTTTAATAAAATTTTTTAATAATAAAGTTTTTATCAATAATGTTTTATACTTTTTTTAAACATTTTTTCAAAAAGCAAAGTTTTTTCTTATTATATATTTTTATGTAAATTTTTTTCAGTAGTAAAGTTTATATAATATTTTATACTTTTTTTTTATAAATTCTTTTTAAGAGTAAAGTTTTTATAATATATTATACTTTTTATAAACTTTTTAATAATAGTAAATTTTTATCTTTAAAAGTTTTATGTTTATATAAACTTTTTTTCAATACTAAAGTTTATATTACTTTATAATAGAAAGAAAAGTTGATATTTATAATTTTTTCTCCTCTTTTAATTTTTTTATGCAGAAAAGTAAGTTATTAATATTATAAACTCTATATAAACTTTTCTATACAAAAAAGTCTCGAATTAATTTATTATGTTTTACTTTTATATAAACTTTTTATATATACAAAAAACTATTAAAAAATATCTTTTTAATATATTTTTTAAAAAAATAAAAATAATAAAATAAAAACTTTTTTTATCAGACTTTCGCGAAAAGTGGAATAAAATTTACTGGGAAATCGGCACCCAATCACACATTATTGCAAGAAAAACAATGAAATACTACAAAGTAAATGTTTTTTTTAGTGTAGCACAAATTTTTTGGCGTTTTATATTTTTGGGGTATTTATCTCTAAATTTTCATTATTATAATAATTTTTTATTCATTTACTTTTTATTAAATTTAATATTTTTATATATTTTTATTTTTTTATACAATTTTTAGATTTTTTTTAGATTTTCTTTGTATTAATATTTATATATATATTTAAGTTTTAATTTTTTATTATATATTATTTATTTATTAATATTAATATTTTTATATAATCTTTATTTTTTTTAATTATAGTTTTTCTTTATTTTAATATTTTTATTTTATATTATTATATTCAATATTTTTATTAATTTGTTTATTTTAATATTATTATATATTTTTTATTTATTTGTAAATTTATTAAATTTCTTTATTTTTAGGATCTTTATTATTTTAATCTCTTTTTTTTAAATTTTTTATTATTATACTTAATATTTTTATATATTCTATTTTATTGAAATTATTTTAATTAAAATTATAATTTATAAAGTTTTCTAGAAATTATTATTATAAGTTTCCTTTAGCGATTATTATTTAATTCTCATTTTTTTTCTCACTAAAGTTATTGAAGTCTTTAATTTATCAATTAAATTTTTTTTTAATTTTTTTTCGTTGTAAAATTAATTAAGTTTATTAAAATTATTATATTTAAAATTATTTTTAGCATTTATAATTTAATTCTAGATTATTTATTAGTAAATTTATTGAAGTTTAATTTAAAATTTAACTTTTTTAAATATTCGTTGTAAATTTTATTAAAGTTTTTTGAAATTATCATATTTAAAGTTACTTTTAGCAGAATTATTTTTTTCTAATTTCTAATTTCTACTTGTAAATTTATAAAAATTATTTAAATTATAATTAAAATTACTTTTAGAATCTTATATTTTTTATTTTTTACTTTAAAAATTCGTTGTAACTTTATGAAAGTTTATTGAAACAATTTCTTTTAACAACTTTGATTTTAATTTTTAATTTTTTCGTTAAATTAATAAAGTTTATTATTATTACTTAATATAAATTAACTTATGTATAGCAAAAATATAATTTTATTTTCTAATTTTAACAATAATATTTCAAAGATCTTATTTTTTCGTTGTAGATTTAATAAAGTTTTACTGAATTTATTGAATTAAAAATTACTATTAGCAATTATATTTAAAATTTCTAATTTTCCGTAGTAAAATTATTAATTAAACTACTTTTAGCCTGAAGCCCCCAAACGAAAGATTAATTTGATTTCCAAAAGACGTCAAGACAATACTCATCTTCCAGCGGAATTTTGGAAGCACTGAATTTTTAATTTTTAAATCTTTTGAAGTACACTTATTTCTAATAAAAAAATTATAATTAATTTTATTTTTTAATTTTAAAGTGTTTATGAAATTTACTTCAATTTAATTTCCGCTTCAGTAAAAAATAATAAAAATTGAAACAAATTATAAAATAGTATAAAAACATACTGAAACTTATAATAATAAAAAATATTAATTTAAAGAATAATAAAAAAAAATTAATTAAACATGAAAACTAAAATTATCACTCAATGAATTTAAAATTATTAAAATGTTTTATTCAGTTTTTTTAGTAAAAGTAATTAATAAAAATTTAAAAAGTTAACAATAAATAAAATTAATCTTCGGTTGTAGTTTATTATGCAATAGTAGTTTTATAAATTTCAATGAAAACAATAATAATAAAAAATTACAAAGTATTATCTTTAATTTTTAAAATAAAATTAGTTCAGAATTTTTATAAATCTATTTCAATCGAACTCCGATATCCACTAAAAGAATTATAAGCAAATTATAAAATTAAACAATTGTAAAAAAAATAAAAGCATTAAAAAGTATAATTTTGTAATCTTAAATTCTTGAATTAAAAATATTCACATTATAAATCTTTTTAATTAAATTCAGATGCCCACTAGTAGAAATAAGCAAAATTACTAATGTTAAGATACTTAAAAAATATATA